AGCATATGTCAATACAACATTTTTTTAGTTGGAAACTAGTCTGTAAAAATGCTAGATCCGCCCCTGGTATTCGACGGCATATTTTACTTTCATATATAGTTACGTCATAGTCACAATATTCATTGGAGATACAATTTTTATCTTGTATTGTGAATCTTTTGCTAAGCTAGCCCGCATCACGCTTTACAAGCGTCTAGTTAATGTTCGATCACAATGTGATGGTGACATCGCCTCCAATCAGAAAGAAACCAGCCCAGTACATTGGTTCCTCGTATATTTCTCTCATGTCCTTCATTGCCTTCTGCAGACTCTTGCTCGCACTCTCTCCATTCTTAAGATGGGAATAGAATTTCAACATGAAGAACATTGTTGCTGTGTCATCAATGGCCCACAATGATGCTACAACAGCACGTGCTCCTGCAGCAAGAAAGGCTCGAGTCATTCCAACAACTCCTTCAGACTTGATTTCTCCTCGACCACTGTAGCAGCAGCTGAGGACAACCAGTTGAGCACGAATTCCGATCTCTTGTACTTCTCTCATGGTCAAGATGCAGTCCTTCTCTTCTGCTGGACTCGAGTACGTTGTAGGTTTAGAAGGACCAAGAGCAATCTGTCCATTTCTCTTACTACCATGTGCAGCAAAATGGATAATTGACACACCTTGTTGAAGTCTTCTTAGGACTGTTTCTTTTTTTGCTTGGGTACCTATCAATGGCTGTACACCGAGAAGATTACTAATCTGTATGGCTTCATCCTCAGCACCGGGTAACGGGGTGAACATCACTGTACGACCATTACGACTGACATGTCCAGTTGTGGGATTTCCAATGATCAGAGCTCCTGGCTAAAAATAAATAAAGCCTAACGTCAAGGTAAAAAAGATACTGATTATAAAACATATCATCGAACTTTGCGGTTGTTTTTAACGTTTGGAGTTTTTTCAAGCATTGAAATGCAAAAAATAACAAATTTGACTTTCTTAGGCACAAATAGATAATTTTTTTGCTGATTAAACAAAGTTTAATTGGGTTTTTATTATTATTTCATTTTTAGGTTTACGTTGTTCCGCGGAGTTATTGATGGAGAAATGCGGGATTCACTAAAAGTGGCATTGACAGGAAGAATAAAAAAGAAGAGAGAGAAGAAATCACAGCAAGAGAAGAAAGGCTCTTTGACTCTTTTGGATGAAAGGACGGTTAGGAAAAAGTACAGCTAAGTGTCTATTGCATACTAACTATATATTTCTATTGTGGAAGGATATTTGGTTTTGGGAGCAAATGTGCAAAGTTTACTTCGTATTTCTAATTTCAACGTTGAAAGTGRTTTCATAACTTTTGACGAAAGAGTGCCGACTCTTTTTTCAGATACCAAATRCCAAAAGGCAAATTCAAGTGAGACATGTTGGTAATACTTTGGGTCCCTCTATCGCTACTACTTCTACTAATAACTGTAGTTCTAATGAAGAAAGTAGAATTGAAGACAAATAATTGGATTTATTTGAAGAGGGAATAMCAGATTTAAATATTCCCGAAGATAAGACAAGGGAAAATAGTATACTCCATTTTCGAATTCAACGCGAATAACCGCTGTTTTATTTGACAGCAGATTCTCTTACGCAAAGGCATTAACAAACACACAAGAAAGCACGATAAAATGTTGTAAGTACAATAGCACTAACAATTTACATTTTAATTACCCGAGTTGAGGCTAACCCTGTATTCCMAGAAGTCTCATACCTTAGGTCTTATGGGAATACGGGGCTAACTCGGGGAAAATGAAAATTTTCAAGTCTATTGTAATAATACCATTTTCTCGTGCTTTCTCTTGTGTTTGGTCAACTCTTTGCGCAAGAGAATCTGTTGTCAAATAAAGCAGCGTTTTTTCGCTATGAATTCGAAACTGGAGTATAGTACAATTCCTATTTCACAGACGGATGAAAATGACTCTATCATTGAGAGACAAGCTGAGGTATTTTGTATCGAATTTTCTCTAAGCAACTCTTAATGGATGCATAGGTTGTTTGTACKTACCCCGTCATGCTGATCATGCGAGGATTCTTGTAGAATTTTCAGCGTCGTCAGAGAAGGATTCAGTCGAATGCGTTTAGTTTCCGACAAATACCTGCCGGTTTTTGGATCTTGAAGAGCAKCGAATGGCACCATGAACAGATAGCCGTCAGGAATGATGATCACCTCGTCGTGGGTCAGCTGGTGCAGCACTGGGGAAACTAGTCTATAGAAGAGCATATCAAGAGGYTCCATATCATCGTCTTCTTCGTCAGGAATGCATCTGTCAACCTTCTGAAAAACTTTGAGAACAGTTTCACTGAGCTGCGAGGAATTTGTCGAGGGKGSACATTCCAGATYTTCATGCTCTAGTAAGTTCATCGATCTGTCCTCGCATTTCATCCTTTTTCCTTCTCTAACATTCAGTTGCTGGAAACARTTGTCAACGAGATATTGAAAATATCCCGSTTCASTAWTTTTTCTCTCATCTTCAGAGAKGSTCGACACAATTGTTGCCAAAGCTTCACGGTTGTCTATTTCATCGTAAAAGAAGGTAGATGGATTTCGGGGTGATATGACCCAGCTATGATAAGTAAMCTTGTTAAAATGAAGATTGTAAAAAAGAATRCAGGCTTCACGATGAGAGGAAATGGTCTTGATATCTGCAAGTACCAGTTCYTTTGATTTTGTTTTCTCAGATYTGTTGCATTTATATAACAAGAGATCTYTCAAAGCACGTGCTCGTCCATGTTCACAAACTAAGAGAGCATCTTCGCTTTGTCTTGTTTTGATGTARACCTGGCTGAGCATCTTGTAGGTTTTGATGAATGTATCGACAATTGAAACCTTGAATTGGTCATTGTCTCTTAAATCGTCAAACAATTTCTCGTGGCATTGTATGCTCTTCTCAAGGTGTTCTTTTGATTTGCTGAGATCTTTAATATTCGATTCTTCCTGATATACAACACCTTAAATAGAAAGACGATTACTTTAGAATTAGACTTACAAACTTAAGCATGAACTTTATTACTCAGAAATTGATTTGATAATGATAATAAAAACGCGTCTTTGCACAACAATCACTGTTACATCAGAGCTTAATGATAAATCGCTGTAACAGATATAGGTAGTATAGTCCGTATTATACTTCTAATTTTGGTATGTAATATTAGGTACTAAAATGATAATAAAATGTCAAATCTCTACTTGCGGACGCTCCCGTTAGCGGACAGTTCTACTTACGGACAGCTTTTCAAAACCCCTTTTTTTCCTCCCATACAAACACTGTATTTATACTTTCGATTAATCGGACTTTCTCGTAGGCGGACGCACTTTTGGCTGTTCCCAATTCACCTTTTCTATTGTTTTCAACCTCCCGTAAGCGGACACTCAAATTCTATAACTTTTATTTGATCTATTTTTTACGATAAATAATAAGTTTTCAGTTTAACAAGCTTGTGAATGATAAGCCTAACTATACATGGAGCTGAGTTATGTGTTGCGACCTTCTTTCTTCAGGTTGGATTTGATCCAATTCATCGAAAATTCATGCCATAATCACATGACGCTTCTCTAGTCCATAGCTTCCTCCTCTGTTGGTGCGAAAAGCGAATGATATTTCTTTACCATTTAACGTGGTGTTCAGCAGGCTCCTAGAGTTTGTTTCGTTTTTGGCGTTTTTTGTTGTATTTCTTTGCGAGGCCGAGCAAAAAATACATACAGTAACTCTTACTTCTACTGGCCTTCAGGCTTTAAAGGAAACATAGTTCTTTCAACGTGACTTGAAAGAGTATTTGTAAAACAAACCGATTAATCATTGAGTCACACTACCTGACTCGCTCGGTTAATCATTAGGAATGCTTTTTTGACCATTAATAAGAAAATCTGACGTTATTTATCCGTTTTAAGATCCCTTTGTATTCAGTAGACGAACATTTCTACTTGCGGACACTTTTTTCGTTTCCCAAGGGTGTCCGCTCACGGTAGATTCAACTGTATGTTTTTAAACGTTTAAAAACGCATGTTTGCATCACATCGTTATATCTGACATCTTATTTTCAAATCGGTGTGACTGATATGGAATTGTGTGATGTCTTTGATCAGATAGCGAATTGTTACTAAAAGTACATACTGTTGACGTCAATAGAATACTGCGGTATGTTACTGTTATCATAAATATTCGCAATCATTATTTGGTATGATTACCGTGTTCAAGCCGAAGACCTGCGGCACAACAGTTATAAAATGCAGCGACTTTATTTTTTTCCAATACATAGTTCTTATTTTCTTATCCTTTTAACTGAAATATGTGTTCTAGTCATGTTAGATTTCTATCGTAGCAATTTGTTTTATTACAATTTACGAGCGTTTGTTAGATTTTAGAAACAAGATGATACTCGAACAGCAGCGTCGAAGAGGATCGCGGGTTCAAATCTCGTTTCGAGCACTTTTCTTCTTTCTTTCTTTCTTTTTAGATATTAATTACCAGGAGGTGGTGGGCACATAACCAGAGGGGGGGAGGCATTACATAAAATTGATGGCTAGATAGGGGAAGGGCTCAAAGTAAAATTACCTAATTAACAGAGGGGGGCCTTAAGTTTCCTTCAAACTTTTCATAATTTTCGATGTCTCTCAAAAGACTGTAAATCGCATTTCCAAGAGTTATTTATTTCAAAATTTTCTGGTTGAGGTCCAGACTCTATTAATACTCCCGCCTTTGGCGGCCGTTAGACCCCCAGATCCAAAATATCTTTTGGGTCCCTGACATGTGCATAAAAACGTCCACGCTTCGCGCCTGACTAATGGAAATCAAGTCAAAGACTCGTTGATGTGGGATTGAAATTGACCAAGGTTATGAATTTTTTTTTTTCGACTATTGATTTTTTCAATTTTGTCACATAAATTGAGGATGTATTTTTCACATAAAATGAAGATGTAGAAGTTGAAAAAGATATTGATGATTTATTAGACATAACAAGCACAATTAGTAATATCAAAGTCGTTTTTGTCTGACCATTAAAACGTTACAAAATCGAACATAGAGCGGCCACGACTGAAGAATCGATTTTCCTCAAATTTTGTCCAAATATACTTTATTGTATCCTAGAATGCACTAAATAGTTTTTGAAGTAAAATATATTTTGGTTTTCGAGAAAATGCCGTTTTAAGAGAGTCACCCGAAAACCGTCATTTCATGGGCCAAAATGTACACTAACATTGCCGGCTGAAAACATTGGCAAAATGATTTGTATGATTTTTAAAACCCGCAAAGTCTTTTCTCCCTCATCTAAATATACCATAGCGTGAATTTCCGGTAATTCGAGAAACTTTTTGTAGCCGAAATCATCGCAGTTTCAGAGCATAACATTCTCCTCGATTCACAATAKCCTCTAAACAAAGTCGATTTTCACCATGCGATAAAACTCAAAATCAAACAAGGTTTTGTTGGTTGATTCTTCAAAGAAAGAGCTTTCCAATGATATAAATATTACGCTTGGCAAATAAATACGTGACACGCGACAGCTCATTGAAATGGACGAATTTTGACCTTTTGAGGTCAAATACAAAACATAAACAAACACACTAGGCGGAGAACTCTGTCAAACATTCATTTTTTTTTTGCTTTTCCAATAACGAATTGGACTTCAAATGGCACTTCTTACCTTAAATAGAGGCATGTATGTAGTTCCCAAAGCACAGATTGAGTAAAAAACGGTAGTATTAGTTTCGAATGTTTCATCTATCGATTCCACGTTTGTCAATGGAGAAGCCATATGTCAACGGTTAAGCTCTTGACAAGTTTAAAATCAGTCGAAACTCTATAAAACGGCCAAAACAGCTCTCGATTCACGAATACTCTGATATTCTGATAATTCTTTAGCTGTAGTCCGTGTGAAAGAACTCCAGAAGAAAGAGCTGTTGATTTCTACGCTTGTGATTATGCTAATTAAGCCAGAGACAATTCGCCTCTCCATGGTGGGGATGGGTAGTGCCAACTATAAATGATTGACTAGAAGAAATCGAAAATAGGACTGCGTTTTTTTCACAATCTGAAAATGGAATTTGAATACTCTGATTAGTTTAGAGAACATATATATAACTGTTTAGGGAGCCCATGTTACTTTTGAGAACAAATAATAAATGAAGTACCTTTTGCAGCTACAATTTCCAAGTTCAGATTATTTAATCAACATATGGCTGTTTTCGCGTTTACTTCGACCAAGAGCTGTCCAATTCAAAAAAAGTTGCAAATTTTCTTAATAAAAGTTTGAAGATTGTGGCTCGATCTCAAAGATGGCGCATACATAGTAGGATGAATCCTGATGAATAAGTCTTCAGGTATCACATTGTCTGCAAGCTCTTGAAGCTCTTCTTCGTCATGCTGACTTTAAAAGTCAGGGGGGAGACTCCCTAATATCAAAAGGCGGGGGTCCTCGTCGGAAAATTCTGAAAATGACTCCTAAAAGGGAACTCTATTGTGAGATGATGGGCGTGGTAGTGCTGAACTTTCACCCCTAAGAGGGACAAATCAATAACAGATCATTTTGTTTTGGTTTCCTGATTTTATTTGCGTTTTTGCACAATCACCGAACGCCGTTGGCTCTGGGTGATTTGAGAAAATGCGACTAGCCAATCAGCGCAAAGATGACATGCTTATGTTGTAAACATAACCCTCCGACGGGAGGAATTTGCACAGCAAAACTCGACCCAGTGGAGTAGGCTGCCTGTGATTTTATTCTATCCGAAAAATCGAAGCTAAAACGCAAAGAGAAATTGAAAATCTTTATGAAATAGCTTTTAAATGTCAATCAAATATTTATCGTTATAGAAAGATAATT